AATTTTTAAATAAAATTAAAAAATTTCATTTAAAACATTTGGTTTATTTTTGTATAGTGGTTTTATTAGTTATTAATAATTGTATTAGTATTGTTTTTATTTTTAATTAAATGTTTATTTTTATTTTGTTTTTAATAAAAATATCTAAAATATTTAATTTTTTTTGTTTTGATAATTTAATTAATAAATTAATAATAAAAATATATTATAATAACTACAATTAAACTAAATTAATGTTATAATTTATACTACTTTCTATTAGATATTCAAAAAAAATAATAATCATATTTTAACTGAAAATTTTATTATTATTATATATTATTTCAAAAAAAAAAAATAATTACTAAAAAAAAATATTTAGTTAACACAAAATACATAGTTTGTATTTTAATAAACTTGTGCTAATATTACAGATATTTTTATAGTTATTTTTAAAGTTTATTATACATAAAAAAAACCTAATTTTTTTTTAAATAAAATTATTGTAAAAACTGACCATGCATATATATACATATATATAATTTTTTAAATAGTTTTTTAAAAGTTAACAAAAAAGACAAAATATTTTTAAGTATATATATATATATATATCTAAATATAATTATAATAATAATAATAAACTATAGATTTATCTATTATTAATTAAAACTAAATATATTTTATCAAATTTAGTACATTATATAAAATTATTTAATAATAATAATACTGTCACTAACTATATTTGAAAATAAAAAAATTTACATTTAAAAATTACAGCTAAATATTTTTGTTATTATATTATAACTATATGTAAATATTAATATTTTATAGTAAAATAAAATAAAATAAAAATTATTTGAACCACTTGTTTGATGTCTAGTTATTAATTTAATAATAAGTTTTTTTTCTGTGTATTTTAATTCAATGTTTATATTTTTAAAAAAAACTTAAAATTTAATTACAATTTTTTTTATTAATTTGATAAGTTGACTAAAAATATTAACATTAAACAATTATACATAATTTTTTTATAATGTTTTATTTATTTAAATACTATAATATTTCCCACTAGTCACTATTATAAATAATTCAAAAAAAAAATCAAATAATAATTTTCTATAATTTTTTAATATTATAATTAAACCAGTTGAGAATGCTAGAAAGCATTTCCATACGAACTCTTAATTAAAATTAAAATCAAATAAATCAGTATAACAAACTAAACTCAATTATAATCTTATAAGGTATCAAATGATTCAGTATAAATAATAAACTCAACAATAGTCATGTGGGGGTATCAAATGATTCAATATCACAAAATATACTCATTTACATTCATGTGAGGTATCAAATGAAGCAGTATAAAAAATAAATAATACTGATCTATTATATTTCATTTTTTGTTGATTTATATAATTCTAAACGTTGGTTATTTTTAACAATTTACTTTGGCCGCCATTTTATTTGTTCCCGAAAATTTAATGCTATCTAGTTATGCATGTTTTTCATGCTTTATTTAAATCTATAGTCAAAAAGTTTTCTTACATATTTTTTAAAAAATTATTTTAGACCCAATTTTCTTTATGAACCTGATGAAATATCAAAAATATTAATATTGATTTTCATAGCTCATTTTTGATGTTTTATCAATATATTGTGAAATCAAAAATTAATTTTTCTGGGGTGACCGGACAGATAGACCGACAGACGGACAGACAGACAGACATATAAAATTCAGATACGTACTTCTTTCACGAGTTCGACTGATAAAAAAAACAACAATAAATTAACTACAATAAAATTTTTGCTACAATTAATATTATTATTTAAAAAAAATTATCAATCTATTATACAGCATTTTTTATTATATTAAACACACATATATAAAAAAAATTCTAAAAAAAATTAGTATAAATATGTGTATAAATCTAATAGAAATTTTATAGTTAAAAAAAATTGTTAACTTGTTAAAAAAAATTATTTTTTGAAAATTTTTATTTAATAAATATTATTAGATAAAAATAATACTTATAATACTATTAATAATGTCTAAACAATTACTAACTATATTGATGTTGTTGGTATTGTTAGCATCGGATGGACTGGTAGTAGTAGTAGTAGTATCGGGTCGTTTGATTAATAGTGCCGGCCTTAATATAATCAAACAGTTTAATCATGGACAGGTAGATGCCACATTAACCAAGCAACTGGTACCTATTGAAAATTGTGTCAATAGTTTGACACCAAAATTAAATGATAATCAATTTTCAGCGGTAAGTTTTTATTAATTTTTATTATTATTTTTGCGTAAAAATACTGTATATATATATATTAAATTAATTTATTTAAATTTTAATTTAAAATTAATAAAAAAAATTGTGAACTATTAATATTGTATAGAAATTTATTTATTTTTATTTTTTTTAAATAGTTTTTTTAATAATTAATAAACTTTATACAATACTACTACTACTAATAATAATAATACTGTAATAATAATCTTAAAAAAAATTAATTATTTTTATATTTATTACTATTACTGGACATTACTAGAATTTACTGCAATAATAATTTTTTTGCAAAATTTTTATAAAAATAATTTTATAATACATTTTATAATTACAATTATTATTATTATAATTCTTATTATTAATTTATTTGATTATTATTATTATTATTATTATAAATAGTTAGTGTCGTTAACATACAGTATTGGCTGCGCTAACCTAAAAAATTCATCCCTGCTCAAATTTCTACGTATGAATAACTATGTGGACGCGTCCAATGAGATCGTCAAATGGAATAAAAGTGGCGGTAAAGTAGATCCCGAACTGGTCAGGCGTCGGGTGGCCGAAAAAAAACTGTTTGACAAGTAGACTACTACTACTACTACTACTTTAATATGGTGTATACCTGTGCTATCTATATATATATATATATATATACCGGTATATATATTATTTCAAAAGTGCTAATATTTTAATTTTTTTTAAAAAATAAAATTTAATTTTGAAACACTTGTTTATTATTTTTTTATATTAGTTTATTTGTTTTAATAATAGTAAATAATGTTTTTTATTTAAATATCCTACTACTACTACTACTATTACTACTACTACTTTAATATGGTGTATACCTGTGCTATATATATATATATATACAGGTATATATATATATTATTTCAAAAATGCTAATATTTTAATTTTAAAAAAATAAAATTTAATTATGAAACACTTGTTTATTATTTTTTTTTATATATTAGTTTATTTGTATTAATAATAGTAAATAATGTTTTTTTTTAAATATTCTACTATTACTACTACTACTACAAATTGTTAGTTGCTAATAAAAAATAAATATAATTTTAATTTTTTAAATTTTGTATTATACTATATTTTTTTGTATTTATTAATTTATTATTATTATTATTATTAAAAATATAAATTATAGACAGGAATCTGTCATATCGTAGACAATGACAAACATTTTTTTATACTATTTTTATTTAATGAAAATTCATGATATGATTAATAACTAAAAGTTAGTGATAAAAAAAATATAGAATAATTTTCAAAATAATTTTTTTTAGATAAAATATTTAGTTAAAAAATTATGTTTTTATTTTTAAATATATATATGTATATATATATATTTGAATTCAACATGTTAATTTTAACAAATTAATGTTGAGTTTACAAATATAATATTTAAAAAAAACAAACATAATATTTTTGCATAAAAATATATAAAATAATAATTTTAGTTTTTCTAATTAATTCAATATTTATAGATTTATATTTAAATTTTATTTAAATTTAAACTATAGTACTATTTTTTAGATAGACTTAAATATAAAGTTTAAGTTTAAATTTTTTTTAACTAATAAAAATATAAATAGCATATTAATAATAAGCCTTGTTAAAATAAACAATATAATAAATATATATATTTTTTTAATTAATATTTTTATAATAATTTAACAATAATACTGAAATTAAAATAATAAGTTAATAATAAATTATATAATCGTTTTATAACATTAATTAATTTTGAAAAACAACTTAATTAACATTATATTTATTTAATTGAAATAGTTTTAAATAAAATTTTAACAGTTAATAATAATTTTTATTAATTATTACAATTTATTATAATAGATACAATTAATTTGTTAATTAAAATGACGGATATCATATATTATTTAAATAACTATATTTATTATAATAAAATAGTTAATTTATAACTGTAACAATTATTAATTTAGATTATTATAAATTATAATTTATAATAAAGTATATACAATATATATATATATATATATATACATATATATAAAATACTAAAAAATAAAATTTTAAATCTCAACAAATAACTTTTTAATAACTTATAAAATATTTATATTATACAAAAAAAGAAATCAATTTTAATTTGTTTATACAAATAAATAAATTATATAAAGTTTTATTACTTATCATTACTTAGTTTTATTTAATAAACAAACAAAAAATATTAATAGATAAATATTACTATTACTACTACTACTACTGTTATCAAGTGCATTGGGTTTATTTTGACCGCAATGTAATTTATAATTTATTATTTATATAAGTTAATTTGACCTTGATCAATTTTTTTTTTCAGGATTTTACTTTAGTAATAATGTATTACAAAAAAAAACAAATTACATATAATTTTGTTTTATCAACTTGTTTATCAAGTATTATAATTTATAATATAAATTTTATATGTATTATTGTTATTATTATTTCGAGATAATGTCATTAAACTAATCAATAACAACAACAAAAATTATAATAACCTTGATGTTTTCAAATTATCACAATCAATATAGTTATTGCCGTTATATATATATAATATAGAGTATATAAACTGATGAATAAATAAAATACTAAATATTTATATATAAAATTATTTCAGCTGAAAATAAAACATTTAAAGTTTTATAAATTAAGTGTATTATATATTTTATAAATTTATAAAAAATATATATATATTAAATAATGTTAGATTTAATCTATACATTTCTATTTTATCCATTAATTAAATGGACATTGATTTTAATAGCAATTAGTTATGCAATTTATAGGTAAATTATTTATCATAATTATTAACATAATTATAAAAAAAAAATATTATAATTATATTAATTATTTTAATTAATTATTTTAATTTATATAGATATTATTCATCCAAATGTATACATTGGGAACAACAGGGCGTCCCAACAGCATCGGTAAGTTTGTTGACCCGATTTTTCAAACCATGGCATATATGGGAACAGGATTTATACMWSAAATACGGCAAACTATTTGGTGTCTATGAGCTAACCCGTCCCGTACTTTATCTATCGGATCCCGATTTGATACGCGATGTTTTGGTCAAAGATTTTCATAGTTTTACTAATCGACGGGTAATTATATATTTATATATTTTTTTATAGATAAATAATAATAATAATTACTAATTAATTAATTAAATATTTATTTATTTTTTAACAATACAGAATACAAAACATTTATTATTATTATTTATTTATATAATTAATTTAAAAATAATAATAATAATTACTAATTAATTAATTAAATAATTAATTTATTTTTAAATAAATTATATAAATCATTTATAATTATTTATTTTTATACTTAATTTTAAAAAATAATTACTAATTTACAACAACAACAAAATAATTTATTATTTAATACTATAATTAAATTAGAGATTTACTACCGGTTCCGACCCGATAATGGACAATATGGTCAGTGTATTGCGTGACGACACCTGGAAACGKGTCCGGACTGTTATGTCGCCRACGTTTACCACTGGAAAACTGAAACGRATGTTACCATTGATTAATGAATGTTTGCAAACWATGGGCCAGAATTTAGATACCGTTTCCCAATCCCAGTCAGCCGTCGGTGATATGAAACGGCTGTTCGGCGCCTATACTATGGAAGCTGTTATTCAGGTAGCGTTCGGTACCCGAGTGGACGCCCTGTACGACGAGGACAACCCTATTATAGCCAACGCACGGCGA